TCCCCCCAGCTTAGTGTCATCTGCAAACTTGCTGAGGGTGCAATCCATCCCCTCATCCAGATCATTAATAAAGATATTGAACAAAACCGGTCCTAGAACTGATCCTTGGGGCACTCCGCTAGAAACCGACCGCCATCCTGACATGGAGCCGTTGATCACTACCCGCTGGGCCTGGCCTTCTAGCCATCTTTCTAGCCATCTTACCGTCCATTTATCCAATCCACATTCCCTTAACTTGCTGGCAAGAATACTGTGGGAGACCGTATCAAAAGCCTTGCTAAAGTCAAGGTATGTCACAGCCACTGACTTCCCCATGTCCACTGAGCCAGTTACCTCATCATAGAAGCTAATCAGATTGGTCAGGCACGACTTGCCCTTTGTGAATCCATGCTGACTATTCCTAATCACTTTCCTCTCATCCAAGTGCCTTAAAATGGATTCCTTAAGGATCCCTTCCATGATTTTTCCAGGAACCGAGGTAAGACTGACCGGCCTATAGTTCCCTGGATCGTCCTTCTTCCCTTTTTTGAAGATGGGCACTACATTTGCCTTTTCCAATCATCTCTCCCAATACAAGCTCCCCTGCAACTCCATTGGGTGCCTTCTCCTCCCACCCCCTGGTGTAACTGAGGAGTAACCCCATGGGGTGACAGCAGTGCCCTGCTGGTGTAAGTGGAAGGCAGGGCAGGGGTGGGGCCTGGCTCACTTTGAGCCATGCCGCCGGGGGAGGGTGCCCTGTGCATGGCACACGTCTGCACTGCTCCTGCTTTGCTTGTTGGCTTGCTGCCTCCCAGCGCAGGTCCCTTCCCGCCTGGCCAGGGATCGCAAGGCTGAGCTGGGAGCACCCACCTGCCCGGCTCCAGCAAGGATCTGTCATGTGCTTCTGCTCTCCATGCCCTGTAGCCACTTCAATTATCCCGCAGCCCGGGCTCTTTTAAGAGGATTATTTCGCAGCGTGCGCTGGGCAGCACACACTCGCACTTATCCACTTAGCAGCTTTCGTCAGGCCTGGGCCAGCCCATTGCCTCCTCCTGCTGCCAGCCCTGTGAATTCTGCCCCTGTCATTCCTTCATCGGATGTTGTGGAGGGCAGCAGAGACCTGCATTCTGGGGTGAGCTCCCGAGAGACGTGGCCAATGCCCCCTCGTCGCTCCATCTTGGGGAGCCCAGGAGAATTAGAGAGAGGGAGCAGGCTGCAGTGACATTTACATGCACAGAAGTTCGGCTGTTGGAAGCGTGGGGTCTCTCACACCAGCCATCTCTCAGCCCCTCCATCCTCCCACCCGATAGCTCAGCTAAGATTGTCCACAGTAACTAGTGACTTTGCCCAATTTGAGATGTATTAAGAGGCCTGATTTTTTCAGAAAGTGCTGAGCACCCGTGCTCTGAAGAGCAGCCCTTTCCTGTGCCCGTCCGTCCGTCTCCCTCTCTCCCGCAGTGTGGCAGAGTTACCATTGCTGGGACAGTCTCACTCGTTCACGTCCATGGATGTCAAAGGTGTCGCTGCCAGTTTACTCTAGTGTAAGTGACGGGAGAGACGGGAGATTTTGGCCCAGTAACTTTGCAATTCCTGGCTGCTGCGCATCAGCTTTACTGATGCAAAAAATCAGCAGTGCTGCTGTTTTTCACATCGGTTTCAGAGAGAGAAAAGAAGGCTGGTCAATAAATAGCGAAGTGAGCCCGTGAGCGTTTCCCGGGAGAGAGATTCAGATACAGCCAGGGTGGAGTGCGGGTGAATGCCCAGCTGGGTGAGAGGGAGCATGGACCATTGGTCACAGCTCAAGAGAAAGAATCAGGAAAGTCATGGTCTATTCCCACTTCTGACCTGCAGAGGTCACTTCCTAAATCCATACCTCACTTTCCCCATCTGTGTAATGGAGAGAGGCTGTTCTGGATGGAGAGAAGCTGTTCTCAGTGGTGACAGATGCAGAACAAGGAGCAATGGTCTCAAGTTACAGTGGGGGAGGTCTAGGTTGGATATGAAGAAAAACTATTTCCTTAGGCGGGTGGGAAGCCCTGGGCTGGGTTCCCTAGGGAGGGGGTGGAATCTCCATCCCTAGAGGTTTTGAAGTCTCGGCTTGACCAAGCCCTGGGTGGGATGATTGAGTTGGGTTGGTCCTGCTTTGGGCAGGGGGCTGGACTCGATGACCCCTGAGGTCTCTTCCAGCCCCAGGATTCTGCCCCCTGGAGATCTAGAGAGGGAAAAGCTGAAGGTATCATTAATTAACCCTCCTAGTGCCTGTGATGCTTAGAGAGCAGAAGGGGTATCAGGACTCCTGGGTTCTATTCCTTTTCGGTCACATTCTCTCCTTGTCACCTTGGACAAACCAGACACACTTCTGCAAGGCAGTCAGTCACGCTTCCATTGTCATTGGCTGTGAACTCATAGACTCCTAGACTTTAAGGTCAGAAGGGACCATTATGATCATCTAGTCTGACCCCCTGCACAGTGCAGGCCACAGAATCTCACCCACCCCTTAGAATAATCCTCTCACCTAGATCTCAGATATTGAAGCCTTCAAATACTTTGAAGACCCCAAGATGCAGAGAATCCTCCAGCTGTGATCTGTGCCCCATGCTACAGAGGAAGGCGAAAAACCTCCAGGGCCTCTGCCAATCTACCCTGGAGGAAAATTCCCTCCCAACCCCAAATATGGCGATCAGCTAAACCCTGAGCATGTGGGCAAGACTCACCAGCCAGACACCCAGAAAGTTTTTTATAGTAACTCCTATCATCCCTCCAATGGCCTATTTACCTCTGATAATGAATGGTCAATTAGTTACCAAGATCATGTTCTCTCATCAAACCATCCCCTTCATAAACCCATCTAGTTTAATCTTGAAACCAGATAGATCTTTTGCCCCCACTACTTCCCTTGGAAGGCCGTTCCAGAACCTCACTCCTCTAATGGTTAGAAACCTTCGTCTAATCTCAAGTCTAAACTTCCTATTAGCCAGCTTATATCCATTTGTTCTTGTGTCCACATTGGTATTAAGCTTAAATAATTCCTCTCCCTCCCTGGTATTTATCTCTCTAATATATTTAAAGAGTGCAATCGTGTCCCCCCTCAGCCTTCGTTTGATTAAGGTAAACAAGCCAAGCTCCGCTAAGGAACAAAAATTCTTCCCCCGCCCACCTCCTCTGGCTGTGAGCTGGCTGCGGGAGCTATCCCCACCGTGGCTCTGCTGAGCGGCCCTTATCGACGAGTCAAGTAATCGATACATATTGTATCGACTTCACAATTAGCCAGATATCCGCAGATGAACAGCCCTAGGCCACAGGTAACCAAACTCTTCAGAAGGTGGCTCCGGCTGAAGATTCAGGATGGTTCTTGTTCCTTCCAACCCTGAGCAGCCACCCCGAGCCTTGCACAGCTCTTTAGGGTGCAGGAGAGGGTCTGGGGGGCCTGGGAGGGAGATTGGGTGAAGGAGGCAGTTGTGACCTTGGGCACTAGCTGGCGGTGCAGGGGTTTGGTGTGACCTAGTACAGGAAGGGGTTCTGACCTGAGGGTAGGGGTTTGGTTGGGACTTAGGACAGGAAAGGATTGTGAGCTGGGGCAGCGGGCTGGGGTGCAGGTCCTGGGTGCAGGAGGGAGGCAGAGGGTTTGGGTTATATGGCGTAAGGGGGTAGGAGTGGGGGACAGAGGGTTGGGGGAGGGAGGGGTTGGAATGTCAGAGGTGGGCTCTGGCCAGCAACTTACCTGGATGACTCCCAGCCGGCAGCCCAGCACGTTTCTGAGGCAGCCTCCCTGCCTGCCCTGCCCCTGCACAGGCTGTGTGTGACTAACTAGGAGCCAGAGAGGAAGGGGTACATGGTTGCTTTGTGTGCTCCCTGCCTTTCAAACAGGCAGCTCCCATTGGTCAGAAACTGGCCAATGGGATTGTGCTGGGGGCAGAAGCAGCTCATGAAGCCTTCCTCCCCTTCCCTCCCGGCTCTCAGTTATGAAAGAGAAACGGCCCAGCAACGGCTTTTCTGAGCGCGTGCGGGTGGGGCAAGGCAAGCGGGGACTTGTCTAGGGCTCCCCATTTCGTCTGCGGGTCAGATCTGGTGACTTAGCAAGCTGGATCTGGCGCAGCCCAGCCCTCCTTTATAGCATTCTGCTCCGTCAACTCCACCTGAACCCAGTGGGTAGAGCCCCCCATTGCTCATCAGGGCCAAAGGGGTTTCCACTGCCGTCATTGAGACGACCCAAGGTGTCTCCTTTGACTCACTCCAGCCGGGATTTGTAAGCCGGCCATCCTTCCTGACCGCTGCTCAGTGATGAGGAAGAGCAGTAATGCTGCGTTTGTGGGAGGCTGTGTTGGGAAAGAGCCAGTCCCATAAGTGAGGTGAAAATGCAAAGGCACTAATAATTTATGCCCTTTAGCAATTTCTTCACTGTCTCGATTACCAGTAACTTTGGAAACCACAACTAAGATGAAAAGTTGGCTTGTGCTTCCATGGCTTGCCTTTGCCGAAGGCATGGCTGTCTCTCCTCCAGCCTGCTAAGTAAAGTGCAGAGCTCACACTGGCTAGCCCAGGTCCCTGGGGCAGGAAACCACCACCAAGGCACAGGGCTGGCTGTGCCTCTAACCTGTCTCCTGCTGCATGGGGTCAGACCAATGGACCCAGCTAGGCTCCGCCATATGCAGACTGGCCTCATCCAGTATCCCGTGTGCTGCAAACTGATGCTTCAAACGTGAGCACAAACTGTCTCCTATTTGCATTTTGACTCCTATTTGCCCAGGTGGGTCCTACAATGGGACTTAACCCTATAACAATACCTACCCCTCAGGCTGGCCCAGCCTTCTAGTGCCAGCGCCCCCCCCCCCCCCCCCCCCCCCCCATGCACACAGTGAGCAGCTAAGACTACATACGCAAACAAAAGCTTCCAACCCAGGGCTGGATTATTTTTCCCATGTGAAATTCCAACCAAACCAAACTACATTCGTTTTTAACAAAAAAATTATTTGCTTTTTTTCTTTTTAAAAACACTAAACTATTGGGGTTTAAAATGGAAATATTTGAATGTTAAATATAAACATGTCAGGTTTGGGACAAAATTGTCTTTTCCCCCAAAATGGACATTTTGGTGAAAAGTTCTTAGTCCTGAAAGCCACTTTCCGTTGCAAAATTTTCCCCAGTGGAGAACTGGCCGTTACAATCAGGGCTAGATGCAGGCACACACGTCTCTGGGCCATCGCCTTCCCCTGCCCACCCTTTCCCGCAGTCCCCTCCGCTTGTCACCCGGCCTTCCTATGGAGCGGTGCCCTGTCGATGGGACGGCGCTGTGACTGGGCCAGCTCATTAGACGACAGACTAGGAAGATCTGGCTCGAGCAGTCGAGTCTGGCATCGCAAACGCTTCTCCCTGGGCACACGCGGCCTGCCGGGCGCAGCCGGGACAGCAAAGCCCCGCGTTGAGGCTGCTGCCAATTGCAAGGTGCACTCGAGGGCAGCAAAACTCTGCAAGTCACAGGGCAAGGCGGGGACACGGGGCTGCCCCTTATTTTCGTGCGGTTTCCCCTCCCGCACAGGAGGCCGCCCCCTCGCGGGGCGAGCGCTGCTAATGCCCGGGCGCCAGCCCAGAGCTGCGCTGCGGGTCCCGCCAACGCCCAGCTCGACAGGGGCCAGACCCCGCAGCTCGGCCCCGCGCTCTGCTGCCCGCCAGCACCGCACAGGTTAAACGCCAGCCACGCCGA